CTTTACCTAGCTAGCTTGTGAATTGATCATATCAAAATTAACACTTTCGAGAAATTTACAATTTTTTCGAAAGTGAAAAGTTAATTCAATTTTGTCCAAAAACAAATTCGGGGTTTCAAAAATTGGAACGGAAATATATGTTTTGAAAATCGGAAATTTTCAGATTGAAATGGATGAAAAAACAATTTATTCCGTTCTAAATTATGCTTCTAGTTAGTAAACATTGTATGTTAATTGTAAATTTATACTACACGTGAGTTGTTTGAGTAGATATATGTCAAATCTAGGAATATCTCGTTTGGAGGGCAAGGTACATACAAATTTGAATCTCTTACGAGTTCTAGATTTCAATTCTTCTGTATGAAAGTTAGAGATCCACTCATGAGTGTGGAAAACAAGAGAGTGAGTTCAAATCTGATCAATTTGTTTGGGCTGTTGGTGCACCACCGGTCTATATCCAGATGAGAAAGTGACAAATAGAAAACTATGTTCAAACGAGTAACCAACAAATTATATACCGAGAAACTATCAAACGTTTTACAAACATGGCACACTATTATTATCTGAAATTATAGCCACCTCCCTGGGTTATGGTCAAATTACAAAAACCCCCTATTGTTTGGGTAATTACAACCACCCATCAACTATATATTATCTTACGAAAAGACCCCTCAAGAGGTAAATTTATGGATGTTAATTCGGTAAACCCGAACCGAAATTCGGTACGCCAACATTTCATACCGTATACCAAACCGAAATATACGATTTAGTTCGGTTAAAAGGAGGGGGTGACTGTAATTACCCAAACAAGAGGAGTATTTTCGTAATTTGGCCATACCTCAGGGGTGACCGTAGTTTGACCTTACTTTTGTATTAACTAACTATATTTTGAAAATTAGAAGAAACCTAATAACACTGTACAATGTTACTATTCTCAATTGCAAAATTTTATTATGTTTGGCCCTGAAAAGGAGAAGACACCAAAAATGTGCATAAACACGTACAAGTTGAGGAAAATCACATTTTTTTTCTTATCTCTTCCGGATTTCATGACGATGACGATTGCCCAAATTCCTTGAAAATATTTAATTTCTGACATAGGAAAAGTACTCTTTTATTTAATTATCAAATATGGCATGCTCACCATTTCTACCGTTCCATACTTTTATGGCATTCTTATTTAATTCAATGTCACCCCCAAATTCCCCTTCACTTTCCAACCACTCAAAATTGACAATTAAACTCAAAATTTATTATACCAAAACGAAATTTACTCAATGCAGATATATATGTTACCGCAGATGTGTTAAATGGAAAATAAATATTAATGTAATGTTGGGTTCGAATCGGTTGTATTTCTTACCTTTTGTGGTTCATTTTTTGTTGCTGGTCGAGTAGGATTACATTATTCACGACGTAATATGTAAACGTTTTATATTCGTGATTTGCGATTACGTAATCTTTGTATTTGCAATACTTAATGAACTATTGATTGAGCATAAATTCGTATTGGATTACTCTTAGGAGTACTACTTATAAAACATCCAAATATCTTATTTTTTAAACTAGTTATTGTTGAACGACCACCTCAACCAAAAGCATAAGACGTTTGTGAAGTGTATTATTTAATATTAATATCTCCAATAGTTATTTACTGGAATATTTTTAAACATGAAACCAATACTCTAAATATTTGACAAAGTGTGATTATATTAATTTTAATTTTCAAATAGGGTGAATTGCAACCGGTCCCTTAAGGTAAGGTCTATTTACGAAAAAATCCCTTATTTTTCCATAGTTACATCCACATCCTGCAGTTTGTAGATTTTTTACATTTTTAACACCGTTTGTAGGGGTGGATGTAAGAAACTTACAAACTTTAGGGCCTGAAAATGTAATTTCTAAAATATGAGGGGGGGGTGTTTATAATTTACCCTTTCAAATAGTAATATATACTGGGCCAAAAGAAAAAACTAAACTCCAGATGGATAACGGCCCATAGATCAGTTTTATCAAATGGGCCATTAATTTTTTAGCCCACATTTAGCTTTCCCCTCTTTCTCTCTCCTCTTTCTCTCTCTTGTTCGAAAAGATTTCTCAGAATTCTCTTCGTATTTCTCTTTCCACAGTCTGCAAATTTCGTACCCAAAAATCAAAGGGGGGAAAAGAAAAAACCTAAAATGGATTCGCAGAAGACGATTCAACTCGAAGGGCGGAGGGACGATCCACTCCGGTACGGTATCCACGGTGTGAAGAGCGATATCATTGAACCTCACCCCCTTGAGTCCGCCTATCACTCGGTAAAATTTCTCCGATTCATTACTTCACAATCGGTAATTTGTTGTGTTTTACCTTATTCGCAATTTTTTTTGTTTGATTTTCGCTTATTTGGTGAATAGTCGAAGGCGAGGCAAGAAGAAATCAAGAGGAAAATTTTGACGAACACATACGGAGCTGCGTTTCCGATGAAGCAGCAGCTCGATCGTCAGATTCTCTCCAAGTTCGTCTTTACCTACCTCTAATTTGATTTATTTATTTGTGGAATTTTGAGCTTGTTGCCCGTTGATATGTTCCAGTTGTAAATGTGTGGGAAAGTTTTGTGATAGGGTTTCACCTTTTTTTTGGGTAATTGTGCATTCCTTGAGTAGGCTGTTATTGGTATATATTAGATGCTACTGTTTACAGCTGCAGATGAGTAATAAAATTGGCAGGTTGATATGGGATATTATATTATGCATTCGTGGTGTATGAATGATGAATGAACGGTGGCGGCATTTGTTCTTCAATTGAAGAAAATTCAAACAGAAAAACTATGAAACCATAAAGTAAAAATTAAACGTAGAGGAAATTAGTCCTTAAGAGTTAACAGAGTTCTTATGCTAACATGAGCGCATTGATTTGTCTTATACGTGGCTCATGATATTCTTGCCTTCTTTGATTGCTGTTGGTTGTTATTGCATATTTGCTATAATAGCTTTTTGTATGTTTCATTAAAATCTCAAAATGACGAACGTTGGGTGTACTTTATGGTTTTCTTTTATCTTAGCTGTAAGCTTGGAATTTTTTATTTGAAACTTGTTTGCAGGGCTTGATAAACAGCAATTACATGAAAGGCTCTCTCGAATAGTTTCCCGAAGCGACATTTTAACGTTTGTATCTTTTTTTTTGTGATTGCAGGTTTAAAAGGCCTCCTGGAGCTATACCATCTTCTTACCTAGGTTTAGAGGCCACAACCGGAACTTTGGATGATATTGGTTTCGAAGACTATCTTAACGGTAATAAATTAGCCCAAAACTATGGAATTTTACTTTTTATCCATATTACAGGTTTGTATGCAGATTAAGTTGTTGTTACTGAGATATCGTGACTGGATAACAATGACATCTTGGTGTTTCGTTTGTTAGTTTAACACATTTCCAACTTTCCTTAGAACCATGTTTAGAACCTGGATCTTAGTGAAGAAGCACAAAGAAAACACTGCACTTTGTTGGAAGGGATTTATGAGAGATAGTTGTCTGATCCATACATATAATTGTGTTCTTAGAAAAATCACTCTTATAATGAACTACGAAGTATTTATAGGTTCATACTTATGTTGTGCACCACTATTACATAAAATGTGATCAGCTTTTCTTTTTTCTTTTCCCCTTTCATTTTCTTCCACAAGATTCTTTATCGAGGCTGAACCTTACATTTGTTAAAAGACGTTCAAGAAAGCATCTAGAAATACGATGCACATAAGCTCTCGCCCCCCCTTCTCACCAACCATATGAGACACTAAAGTGTGGAACTATCAACCATAAAGTTTCGACATCTTTTAATTAGCTCGATCATCCATTTTCCCTTTACATTCTGTGCTACTTACTCTTTTGGTTTTACACGTCTTGCCTTGTAAATTAGTTGAATTGGGATTATTGCATTTATGTCGTCACACTCTTTAGTATATGTCTATGACATTCTTGTCTTTTACGCATAAATGCTCTTTGGTCGAAAAGTGATACGTGAACTTTTATTAAAAATCCGTTACTATAGTGACGTAACACGTTGGTAATTGTATATGGTTTCAGATCCAAGAGATTCCGAGACGTTTCGTCCAATCGACATGCACCACGGTATGGAAGTTCGTCTTGGGCTTTCGAAAGGACCAGCACACCCTACTTTCATGTGAAGCACTGACCAATTGCTGGGACTGAATTTTGAGTCTTTAATCATACTGTTTGCTTAGATTAAAGATTCTTTAATGTAGTAATAACAATGTGGCACTGGTCTGTATTCGAACATATTTGGCTAGTCAAAGAGAAGACCAATTTCCTGTCTTTCTATTTGGTAATACATTCCCAAATTTAATTTCATTGCCATTCTGCCTGTTGTTATTTATGTAATGAATTTGTTCATAATATTACACTGATAATTTCACTGGATAATATTTAGACGAAGAGGATTTTTCACAGATTAAATAAATAAAAAATAATAATAAAAGGCTCAAATATTCCTTATCCAACAAATTTTCCCCTAGCGGAAACAAAATCACCACCTTTATTGATGCAATTTTATAACATATTTTGTTAATTATTATTTATGCATGTAATATTTAAATAAATAAAATAGTATAAAATTCACAGTAGAAATTAATTAATTAACTAGGCTCCAATTCAGCACCATTTCTATTCCCCCCCCCGTGAAATAATCCCAGCTTAATTCATCCTCTGAACCACCCCTCCTAGATTCTCTACCCGAGAATAAAGGGACCAAAAGTGAAATTTGGATAAAAACAAACAACACACAGAAAACCCCAATCCATTGCCATTTCAATCCCTAAAACCCAGATATGGACCCTCGCCGCGCTCCCCGCACCGTCAGCGATCCCAAGGTCCGGCACGTCGGTTTCTTCGCTCCCGGAGCTCCACCCGACCGCTCTCATTCCGTTCCGACCGACCCGCTGACATCGTCGCCTCCGGTGTCCGGAATTTCCCCCGCCAGCAATTCCTTGTCCCCAGTCATGATCCCTCCGCCGCGGCCCCTCTCCACCGACCTATCCCGCCAGTTCGCTCACTCTCCGCCGGTGTCCCCTCTCCGCGTCGCCGGTGCCGCCGATTCTCCTTTTCCTGTCGGCAGTTACAATCAGTCGGAATTTCTATCCCCTACCACTACTACGGAATATTCCGAGGATCCGCTTTCCCCTAGCTGGGGTCGTAAGGGCAGTTCTGGAAATTTCACTTCCTCATTGCTGGCTGGCGAAATTGAGATGGCGTTGGAGGAGCAGAATAGTGTTTTTAACTTGCCCCGAGGTAGACTTCGCTTTCTCCTTTTTTTTTTTGTTTTCCCCTTTTATCTTTTCGATGCTTTCAATGTTGAGCTGGTTTTTGTTTTTTGACGGAATTTATGTAACAGATGGAGGGGCAAATGTGGAAATTCAGGAGCTGAGGGCAGTGAGTGGTAAGCAAATGAAGGAGAAGCCAACGAAAGCAGAAAGAAGGGCAATTCAAGAGGCTCAGAGAGCTGCAAAGGCTGCAGCTAAAGGTGAACATCTCCTGCTTGTTTGTTCATTTTCTAGATTACTCACTAATTTTAGTTTGATGATTGTGATTTGTAAATGGCACTTGTGGAGTTCATGTTAGTTATTAGTGTATGTAAAGAATTTGGATGCATCTTTTAGTTGAATTGATTTATCGTTCCAAAGGCTTATGATATTCTTGCTGATGGCCTCGCGGATGAAGCAGCACTGACTTAATTGAACTAGATTTGATTTATGAGTTTGCATATTCAATATAGAATGTTCAGTTATCCGTAATCTTTAACCAAGCTATTTTGCATCACTAGTTCAGTTGCAGTATTCGTTTTGTTGTAACTGGTGCAAGGGGAATTCTAATGTTGGAAGTCTTATTCTACCTCTTCTGTCATTTTATGTTCAATGCAAGTGTTAATTGACTTATTAAGATGCTCACGCTGATGACTTCCAAATGCTATTACAGTTCATGGTTGTTTTTGTAAACAGAAGAGCAAAATATTGGTTGTTATCAAAATTATACATAAATCCATGATGTCCATACAGAGAAGTGCTCGTGGTAGTTATGATGATGTTTATGCTAGAATAAGTTTTATTTACTGTTGGTGAGGAAGCAATTTCTCTTTCTTCAACCAACTCATAAACTCAATGGTTTAGATTGTGAGATGCATTGTTACTGTGTCCGGGGGCATTTCAACATGCTTTAAACTTCATCTCTCTGAGTCAAAGGACGATTAATTTAAAGAAATCCTTCAATCCACTTATGTTGCTTCCTGGATGTAGTAGTAAATATTAGTGACATTTTCTCATGAACTACATCATTGGCAGATAGTATTAAATGTTAACTTATAGCATTTGTGGCATTTTTTTTAACCTCCGTCAAATTGTAAATCCGAAACTCTTATGTAAAGTAACTTAAATGGAACACATATTTGAAGCAAACATACTTTAATTGGAAAATCTCGTCTTTCAAGGTCAAGGAAGTAAGACATCTGCTGCTGCTACTGTTGTCAATCCCGTAAATGTCAATATAAAGAAGCCTGTGAAAGCTGTTTCACAAAAGAAAGACAACTCTTCAGTTGCAGTTTCTGAGAAAAGAGTTAGTGATCGTCAACCAGATAAAGATAGGAAGAAAGAAATCCCGCATCCAAGGATGCAGTTTGATGATGCGAACAGAGTTGAGAAGGCAAAGAAGCGGTCTGTAGTTAAACAAATTGAAGCTAGGAACAGAGTTGAGCTCTTTAGGCATCTACCTCAGTATGAATATGGCTCACGGCTTCCTGACCTAGAGTCGAAGTTTTTCCAACTTGATCCGGTTCATCCTGCTGTTTACAAGGTAATTTCTGAGGCTCAAATCGTTATATCTTCCTCTCTTTGTGCTTTTGTGTGTGTGTGTGTGTGTGTGTGTGTGTGTGTGTGTGGCATTGCTAAAAGAAAACATGGGCTAAGAAAAAGCATGAGTAACCTATCTTTTTCCTCAAAACTGATCAAAATCTAAGTAGAAGCTGATCTTTGTTTTTTATTATACATGTCAGGTTGGGCTGAGATATCTAGCTGGGGATATATCTGGTGGCAATGCCCGCTGCATTGCTATGCTTCAAGCATTCCAAGAGTCAATCAAGGATTACTCCACACCACAAGAGAAGTCCCTTATAAGAGACTTGACAACCAAAATAAATGGTTACGTCTCTTATCTGATTGAATGTAGACCTCTTTCAATCAGCATGGGGAACGCAATTAGGTTTCTGAAAACTCGAATTGCCCAATTGTCTCTTAACCTGTCTGAGTCAGAGGCAAAGGCCAATCTTATTTCTTGTATCGATTCTTTTATAACAGAGAAAATAATTCTAGCTGACAAGGTAATTGTGAAGCATGCTGTAACCAAAATTAGGGACGGTGATGTTCTTCTCACACATGGGTCTTCATCCGCTGTTGAAATGATACTATCGCATGCTCACGAGCTTGGCAAAATGTTCCGAGTGGTGATAGTGGATTCACGTCCAAAGCTTGAAGGCCAGAAGTTGCTCCGTAGGCTTGTGGGAAAGGGTGTTCATTGTACTTATACTCATATAAATGCTGTTTCTTATATCATGCATGAAGTCACTAAGGTACTGTTAGGTGCATCTTCGGTGCTATCTAATGGAACTGTATACTCGAGGGTTGGCACTGCATGTGTTGCTATGGTAGCCCATCAGTTTCGTGTCCCAGTCTTGATATGTTGCGAAGCATACAAGTTCCATGAAAGAGTTCAACTTGATTCAATTTGCTCCAATGAACTTGGTATGGAAACAGTTTATTTTCAAATCAGATTGCCTTCCCAAGAGTGGAATGCATTTTTATAATAATTTTCTGTCACATATTATTGTAGGTGATCCTGATGCTATTTCAAAAGTTTCTGGTAGAAATGAAATCAATGCTTTGGATGGTTGGGCCAATACCGAGAATCTACAACTCTTGAACCTGACGTAAGCTTGCTTTTAATGCTGACTTGTGAATCTTAAGACAATGCTATTGACCCCCGTGTTACACTGACTCACCTTTTGCTTTTTCATTATACCAGTTACGACGCAACACCTTCGGATTACGTGTCAATGATTATAACTGATTATGGCATGGTAAGTTGGACAAGGTTAAATCTTAATTTATTGTCGTGTTTCATCATTAAGTGTCCGACATAAAAATTGCATGCCTAATTTGCTTGTTAGATAAAATGTATATCGTCATTCATTACTGCGATAATTTATATCAAACCGTTTCCTTTTATTCAATTACATGTATGGTCACGAGTCCCTTGTTTGTCAGTTTGTCTTATTTGCACCATAGAGGAATGTCTGATTTACTGTCTAGTGTCCGCATGTGTGGTTGTTTGGTTAACCCTTGTTTCTCGAAGCATCAAAATTTGCTCCATTCTAATTTTGTTACATGTGTACCAGTGGCAAATGCACAGATTATTATTGCTCTCATTTTCTATTATAAGAAACGAATTCATTCAATTTACTTGTGTTTCATTTGATGTTTGTAGATCCCACCAACTAGTGTTCCCGTTATTGTTCGAGAATATCGCAGAGAAAACCTGTGGATATAGGGAGGAGCAATGCAAATAATTCTGGAAAAAAAGTCTTGCTTACAGATGGAAAAAAAAAAAAGTTAATCAAGAGTTTCACATTAAGCGTTAATCTCGGTATCTGGTTTTTGATATAATTTTTGTTACAACCCCATCGGAGAATAATCTCTTCTCGACACAAACTGAATCCCATTTTTCATCTGACCCTGACGCTGTGAAGAGTGCGAATAGTTCCGCCTCTCCGGGTAGTTTTTGGAATGCATGAATGAGTTTTGTCAATCTCCCGATAGCAGAAGTAATTGTTATTTTTGTAGGAAGAATGCTAATAACTACAGGTGATTTTTTGTTGGATGTTTGCATTTTCTTGAGGGGTGAAGTTCTGAATATGACCCAATGTGTGACCATATTAGTCATTATTTAGTTTCAGAATTGAGAATATACTTTTTCTTTAGGCTGATTTATTACCGATAATTATATTATTTTAATTAGTTATTAGTTTATAAATAACGAAATAATATATTAATTAGTTCTAAAAATGTTCCAGAAATAAATGGAAGCCACTGTATAAATCCCAAATATCTAATAATACTTTGGCCATTTGCCTTCATTTAATTTCTGTTAATATGGTTTTGCAATCCTGTAAAGTAACAAATATTCATCATTTTCGGTCTTCTTAGCCCGTAAGCCCGCCCTGACCCAGCCCGTTTATGTTCATGAGAAAACACTGAGGGAACTATTCTGATGTTGATCTGGGAATATCGGCTTTTCCATTCGCAGGAGAGACGACCCCAAGAATCACAAAACCGGCCAAAACAACAAGCAATACCCCCAAAGAATTCACCATCAACGCCTCTGCTGAGTAGCGCGTTATTACCTTGTTTGTCTGAAGAAATGTCACCTTCTCCAGAATACCAGTGGTGCAGGTAGCTACAGCAAGGGCATAAATGTAAATTCCAATAAATACATGCCACGGCATCAGGCTCACTCTACTGCTTCTCGATCCACCAGGATACCAAAACGTTACAAATCCAGCAGCCCACTGTGGAAGAAATTACCAAACGTTAATAATTGCATGACATAACTTACATAAATTATAAAATAAAAATAAAAAAATTACCTGAATTCCGAACAAGAAAAGACAGGCTAAGCCGAGCCATGAGTGGAGACTATAGAAGTTGTCGATTCCTTTGTCTACGTGAAACTTCCAAGCAGCCCACACTCCGATTATGCTCAGACAGAAAGCCATGCATTGTAGGGAAAGATGGACTAATTTTTTTAAGCTTTTAGTTCCTGAGACAGTCTTGTATGCCAGCATGGCTGCAAAAATCTATGGTGAGAAATTAAACATAGACAGACACAGACAAACTTCCCATGTAGAAACCCAAGAAGTAAAACAAGATCCATATGCAGACGAAATGCAAGGCGACGAAAAATATGAGGTATGTGATATAGGAAAGGGTAAAAGAGACAAAACGAAAGTGCATCCAATTTCGTTACTCGCAAAGAAAATTAATTTGTACAACATGAAAGTAATGTTTTTATACGACTAATGTCTTGATTTAACCTCTCTGTTTTATTGATTCTTCCAGAAGAAGAAGCAATAACGAACACAAAGTTTCAGTATAGCCCCTGCTCGAAGAAATCGACAAATATTTATACTTCAAGAACAGACAATTTTTGTTGCGAGTGCCGAGCAAAACATTACTTCAGGGAAAGCCAAATGTAACCAGGTACGAATTACGAGGTCTCGATGTAATCATGCCCATCACTTTTACACTGATATACACATGACCATTATAAACAGAAGTGCATCTATCATTCACAAGAAAATGTAAATACATATGTATGAACGTATTGATTATTGATATAATATTAATCTACTAGAGCTCATTTTCTTCATACCTTCTCCATTAAGAAGCACAAGGCTAATCACCATTAATACAGGATGAACCTGAAACATAAACACCAAAATTATCCCTCAAGTACAATATTTAGGTTTTAAAAAAAATTATACACCATTAGAAAACCGAGAATAAAAAATTAAAACCTAAAACAAAGAAAAAAAACTGGAAATTACGTTAAAAATAAGATCTTTATTATCGGATATAAGAGCCAAGCCGCCTCTGTAATGCACAGTCCATATCAAAACGAGTGCGGCAACTGCAATTCCGATGATTCTAATCGCCGGGAAGATCGGGAACCGTACCACCGGCACCGCCATTTGAGGATTCTATAGAGAGAGGGGGAATCTGAAATAGAGAGAGAACGAGGGTTTGCAGATCTCTCCGCCGAGAAACAAATAGAGTGGAAGGGAAAAGGGGTTTAATCGCCTGAGCTGGAAGGAGTTGACTTTTGACTTTTCAAGGTACAATGAGGAATGGTGGATTAAGGGATTGTTTGGTACACCGGAGGAGGACGAGAAAATGAAATAATGATCTAAACTTTTTTTTTTTTTATTAATGTTATAATAATATTAATATTAATAAATGTAATTGTACCCTTTTTTATTTCGAGAATAGATTTATTACGTCATAACTTCAATTTCAATGAACTTGACTTGTCATATTCAAACCATGTTAATTTACTTTCCCAAAAATAGAATGGGGATTTTTATTTATTAAATGCAATCAATATTTTTCATATTCGTCCAATTTAATTTCTCTAGCTCTTTTTTTTTTTCATTTTTTTAATAAATCAAATTATATTGTTCAAACGGGGTTTATACAGTGCTACACCGAGTAAAATACATCGAATAAATATTTATCATTAATATACACACACTCCATATTGGTGTGGAGTGTAGATAAATAATAACAAAAATATCCAGTGTAACTTTCACCGAATGTAACATATAAATAGCAGTTCAAGCAGTCCATTTTAACACCAAGTCATGGTTGTCAAAATTTGAATATGAATAATCTTGACTAAATTAAATATTAGTCCGGATCTAATGAAGATCCACGTCTAATGACGAGTGTAATAAGTAAGATGTTTAGAAATTACTAAAAGAAATAAAAATTACTATTTTTAAGTTTTTATATTTGGGAAATATAATAATAATTGGGATTTGAAGATTCCTTAGATCAATTGTTTTTGTCAAATCAATCACTTCTTGCTAAATAACGTTATTACACAAGTAATCACTTAATTATTAAAATAAAAAATGTACCAATTCCAATTTTTAAATATTATAAACCATTGGCTTGGTTTAAAGAGAAAATCCATTGGCCGGTTTGATGTGGGGATCAACAGTTGGTTAACGCCGTTAACGTAGAAAAACCCTCACAAGGAAGTAAGGTATCTACAGTTGGATAACAATTAATAACACAGCTCATAAACACCGTGGCATTACAACTCCGTCAGTATAATATTCACTTACTAAATTCCTATATTGCGCAAACACCCCCATATTTTCTATTTTTTACAAACTGCCCCACTCTCGGTCAAGGGCAATTTCGGCAAAGGACCGAACCCCCCACGTTCTTCACAGAAAGGCGGCCCTTTGATATACCCGAATTGCCCTCGCTCAACGGATATAAACAAATCGGACCCATGGGTAGGAAAGGAAATTCCAGTGAAGGAATTGCTGTCGGAGCATAAAATAGGAAAGAAATACGAGAACGTGAGTGATCCGCGCACACCACAAGGTGGGTCTGTTGAAAAGGGTAGAGAGAGAGAGAGAGAGAGAGAGAGAGAGGGGGGGTTAGAGAGAGAGAGAGAAAGTTGGTTTGGAGTCGTTACCGGATTTGACCACATACTATTCGCCGGAATTTGGGAACTCTGTTCGCGTCCGCCTCGGGGTTCCCCTGGAATTTAGGGTTTCATTTCACATCTTACTGCTCAAAATTAGTGCAGAAATCCTTAGGTTTTTGGATCGAGTTGGGTTTGGGATCTGAACAGCCGCTGCAGAATGTTTACGCCGAAGAAGAAGCTCTGGTCGCTGACTCCGAGCAGCGAACCGGGCCAAAAAAACGGTTCCGTCTCGGGTTTGAACACTAACCCCATAAGCCCAAGAAATGGCGAGGCATCAGCCAAAGGCAAATCCGTGGGTTTTCTTCAGAGCGACGGGATTATGGACCAAGCCTCGCTCACTGAGAGGGTTGCCAAGCTCGAAAATGAGGTATACACGTGTTTAATTATCTGAAATTAAATCATCTTTTTTTTAACATCGATGGGTTTGCTTTCTTTCTCTGAAGAAACCTTACATCTACATTATTACCATGTTTGGAGTTGCTCTTTTCTAATGAGTAGAGTTGTCATGTGTTAATAATTTATTTCTCTACCCAACAACTTTTTAAACCTAATTTATTTATTTGTACAGTGGGTTTGTTTGTTGGTCTGCTAAGATTTTTTGGCATTGAAAATTCACCAGCTTCTTCTTTAGTTTGCGATCTTTATATGAATCGGGAGAGTTTTTGGGTAATTTCACAGTTTGAAACATAACCTGTTAGTGTCTTTCTTAGGTTATACAGTTTTCCATCAATTAATCCAGTTACTTGTTGTAGTGATTCTTAGTTCCTGTAAAAACCAAATTTCCTTTCATCTTTATGGAAGGGTGTTGTCTAAATTTGTTGCGGGTGTAAAGATTCTGCTAAAATTTTCTGTCTGACCATTTGATTCTTTCAGCTCTTTGAGTATCAATACAACATGGGCCTTCTTTTGATTGAAAAGAAGGAGTGGACTCTGAGCTATGATGAACTAAAGCAAGCTTTGGCAGATGCGACTGATACCCTAAAAAGAGAGCAAGCTGGTCGTTCAAGTGTACTCTCTGAGGCAGAGAAGCGAGAAGAGAATTTAAAGAAAGCATTGGGTGTCGAAAGGCAATGCGTGCATGATGTAAGATTTGGAATTTCCTAATCATCTTATAATAATAATTTTTAATTGATTCCTTGTCAAGGGGAATGGTATTTTCTGATAGTTTGCTACTTTACATTATTTCATTCTTCCATATGTGTGAATGGTCATCACTAAACTTAGTTTGATGGGGGTAATTTAGATAATATCCTATTTAACACAGCGACCTATCAGCTTCACATGTGTTAGAAATGAATCGGCAGAACATGAACCATGTCAATGTCTAGTTTATATTTCTCTGATTTAGACTGGCATTTACTGTAAAAGATACAATAGTTTAATTGAGGAAATTGGAATAGTTTCAGTTGGAACAAACTGGTAGTAGGTAAGTTAACTTCTGATTTTGTTGATTGCCACAGCTCGAGAAGGCTTTACGTGAAATACGCTCAGAATATGCTGAGATTAAGTTTAATGCTGATTCAAAATTGGCGGAGGCTAATGCATTAGTCACAAGCGTTGAAGAGAAGTCGTTAGAGGTTGAAGCAAAGTTTCATGCAGCTGACGCCAAACTTGCCGAAATAAGTAGGAAGAGCTCAGAAATTGAGAGGAAATTGCACGAATTGGAGGCTCAAGAAAATGCACTTCGAAGAGAACGGTCTATCTTCAACACAGAGTATGATTGATGCTCTTATTCTCTTGGTTTCATGTTTCTTTTCTTGCAACTGATTTGTACATGTCATATTAGTACTCTGATGTGAACTTCTATTTTTCTCAGGCGTGAAGCACATGATGCTTCTATATCTAATCAAAGGGAAGATTTACGAGAGTGGGAACGGAAGTTACAGGAAGCAGAGGAGAGGCTGGCTGATGGTAGAAGACTGCTGAACCAAAGAGAGGAGAGGGCAAATGCAAACGATAAGATTTTGAAGGAAAAACAGAATGACCTTGAAGAATTAAGAAAAAAGATTGAGATGGGAAATTCAGCTTTGAAGAACAAAGAAGAAGATGTAAGGAGCAGACTAGCAAGCATAACTATTAAGGAAAAGGCAAGTTTTTATCTTAATGTGGGTTCCTTTTCCTTGTGGTTTCCTTTTCCTTAACTCTCTGTGAATTTTATGCAGGAAGATGATGATGTTAGGAAAAAATTAGAGGAGAAGGAGAAACAATTGCTGGAATTAGAAGAAAATCTGAATACTAGAGAAAAGGTGAGTATTTCCATTTATTTGATTTGGTTTCAGGACATGGTTACTAAATGGAGCCTTTTCTTCTCTTTAAGTTCCATATTTGTCAGTGTATGGATGTGTTTGGTTTGGCAAGTAATTAATTGACAACTTAATGATTCCTTTCACGGAAAATTATTTTAGCAATTAATGTCTTCTTTCCCTTTTTTTTTGGCTCTGATTACTTTTTGACTACTTTTGGTGGTATATGCAGTTTGAGATTCAGAAACTGTTGGATGAACACAACAGAATCCTTGCTGAAAAGCAGAAGGAGTTCGAGTTGGAGATGGAGCAGAAAAGAAAGTTGAATGATGAACATTTGAAAGACAAGGTCGTTGAATTGGAGAAAAAGGAAGCTGAAATTACACATATGGAAGAGAAAATAAAGAAACGTGAACAGGCAATTGAAAAGAAAACGGAGAAAGTGAGGGAGAAGGAAATGGATTTTGAATCCAAATCAAAAGCCTTGAAGGAAAAAGAGAAGTCCCTTAAAATTGAGGAGAAAAACTTGGAGAAAGAGAGAAAGCAAATGCTTGCTGAAACGGAAGACTTGCTTACTCGGAAGGCTGAGCTCGAGAGCATTAAGATCGACATCGAGAAACTGCAGCAGAGATTAAATGAAGAGAGAGAACAGCTAAAAGTAACTGAAGCTGAAAGAATAGAATATGCTCGCCTGCAATCTGAGTTGAAAGAGGAGATAGACAAATACAGATTCCAAAGTGAGCAACTTATGAAGGAAGCAGATGGTTTGAAGCAAGAAAAAGAGAAATTTGAGAAAGAATGGGAAGAGTTAGATGATAAAAGAACTGAGATAAAGAAAGAACAAGAGGACGTTCTTGAACAGAAAATATATTTAGAAAAACTAAGACATTCTGAGGAGGAAAAACTTCGTGGTGAGAAGCTAGAGACAGAGCAATATGTACAAAGGGAATTGGAAGCTCTTAAATTGGCAAAAGATTCTTTTGCTGCTAGTATGGAGCATGAAAAGTCGATATATGCTGAGAAAACTCAGAGTGAAAAAAGTCAACTGGTTCATGATTTTGAAATGCGGAAACAAGAACTTGAGACCGAGATGCGGAGGAAGCAGGAAGAGAGAGAGAGTTCCTTGCAAGAGAGGGAAAAATCATTTGAACAAGAGAAGGAAATGGAACTTAACAATATTAATTACTTGCGGGAAGTAGCCAAAAGAGAAATGGAAGAGATGAAGTTGGAAAGACTTCGCATGGAGAAAGAAAAAACGGAAATGTCGCACAATAAGAAGCATGTCGAAGCACAGCAACATGAGATGAAAAAAGATATTATGGAGTTGGTTGACTTGAGCCAGAAGTTGAAGGATCAAAGGGAACAATTCATCAAGGAAAGAGAACGATTCATTGCATTTGCTGAGAAACAGAAGAACTGCAACATTTGTGGAGAGACTATTAGCGAGTTTATGCTGTCTGATCTTCATACATTAACCGAAATGAAAAACCTTGAAGCCCCTCCGTTGCCAAGGGTGGCAGAGAATTATTTGGAAGGAGTTGAAGGCACTATCGCAGGGTTTGATGCTGAGTCATCTCCTGCTCGAGTTAACTCAGGATCTCCTACTGCTCCTGGTGGAACAATGTCTTGGCTCCGAAAATGTACCACAAAAATTTTCAAGTTCTCTCCTGGAAAGAAACTTGAACTTGATTATACGGAGGATCTTGCAGGGTCGTCGGCACTCCCTGAGAAGCGAGATGTGGATTCACCAAAATCATTGCCCGGTGGTGAAAAGGAGGCAGAACCATCCTCACAAATCGCAAATGATTCTTTTGATGTCCAAATAGTTGAATCTGATAGTGCCATTAGGAAGGTTGAAGATCCAGTGAATACCCAAGAATATTCTCAGAAATCTGACCTTAAGGCACGTCGCCGTGGACCTGGCAAAGGGGGTAGACCTAGAACACGAACAGTGAAGGCTGTGGTCACTGGTTCCAAGACCAATGGTAATGCCGAGAATTCTGTTTACACGAATGATGAAAGCCAAACAGAATCTGATCTTGTTGGAACAACAAAAGACAGAAGAAAGAGAACTCGGGTTCATGGATCACAGGCAACAGTAAGTGACAGTCAAACTGAAGGTCATTCAGACAGCATCAAGGATGGTGATCGCCCGAAGAGACGACAGAGAGTTGTCGCAGCTGAGCAAAGCGTTGGTCAGCGGCGATACAATCTCCGGCAGCCCAAAAAGTAAGTTGCTCTTTTGTCTCTACAATGTTTTGAATCTTTGGTTGTGTTATGGAGGAAGAATGGAGTTTTCTTCGTTAGGTTCATTACTCAGCCAAAAATATCTACCAAAAATGATATCTTCCACCTCTTAATGTGCATTACCAGAACTTGTTAATAATAGCTTTCATTTTAGCCATGTTTCCTTGTCATTTTTTTCCACAGTTTTATTGCCTTTTTAATTTGTCTTAGTAAATTTCCACCTTTGAGATAGTCATCATGTTTCACATTTTCTTAATTTCCAGATCCGTAGGAACGACAAATGGATCCTTACCTCAAGTTAGGAAGGGCAAGGAAAATGAATCAGATAAACTGCCTGTCTTAGAAGCTGACCAATATGAAAATTTTGTAACTGAGGGAGCTTCAAGGGAAGAAATAGATGAATGCGGTGCAGCAGCTCCACTTCCCAAAAGATTTGGTGGTGAAGAGCCTGTAAGAAGTAACAATGGTGCTAGCGAGTTCTCTGCAGATAGTCCTGTAAGCAATCAATCACTTTCTTCCGCTTTGTTATGTTCAAGCATTCAGTTTGGACCTGAGTCTATATTTTCTCCCATTATATCGATTTGATACTAGAATTATCCAATAGCATTCAGATTTATTGTATTTGTGAATTTTCTAAAAAAAAAAAAAAAAAATCTTTTTTGGCATTTTACAGTTCAAAAATGCAGTAGGCACTCGTAGAGAACATGTGGATGACATGGTTCTGAGTGAGGAGGTGAATGGAACAGCAGAAGAAGGCATGGAATACAGCGGTGAAGAATTCAAAACCGAGAGCGAAGTTGAAGAAGGCGACAATAATGAAGACGATGAGGTAGAGCATCCCGGTCAAGCTTCCATCGGAAAGAAGTTCTGGAACTTCCTCACTACGTAAAAAATAAAAATGTCCAGTTTCTCTGGTTTTTGATTGTATCCACGTTTTTAGCATTATTTCTTTGTTTTGCAGTGCAAAGAATTTATTTCTGACTTAGTTTGTGTGTAATAGTTTGCATATAAGACTTAAAAACACAGAAGGCAAATTCATTCAGGCTGGAGGTGTTAGGTGTTTGTTATTGTCTACAGTTTGTCTAGGGATAGGTAATTAATGTAGTAGCATTCTTGGACAGTAGCCACCAGTATTTACACTGGTCTTGTTTTTTTCGTTTCCTTTTTCTTGACTTGTGATTTTGTGTGTGTATTAAAACCGTTCCCTTGGCTTGTAATTTTTATTATGTCAAAAATGTGCTTAAATTTGTAGGATAAGGCTCATGAAATTGCAAATTTGAACTTTTTTCAAATTTCTTTACAGGTGAGATTTTGAACCAAAACATGGGTAAATTACAACCGCCCTCCTGAGGTAAGATCTATTTACGACAAAAAAACTCGTATATTTACATAATTACATCTACCCTTCAAATTTGTAAATTTCTTACATTCACAGACTATAGGAGAGCCTAGATGTAATTTCTAAAATGAGGGGTTTTCTCGTGAATTGACTATGCCGTAAGGAGGTGGTTGTAATTTACACAAAAAGTATGACATCAACGATTGAAGTAATTTTATTTTTTCTTTCCAAGTGAATAAATGTTTATATTACTGAGATTATGTAATATGCACAAGACCCTAAATAATATTATTCTTTTATCAAAATTAAAAATTAGAACTGTACAGTTTAAGTTTACTTTTACTCTTCAGGGGTCGAAAGCGACCGTATATGACTATGTGTTGATTGCCCTTAGGGCTGGCCCTGCAACCTTATACCTGTGAATGCAGCAGAGCTCTTCGCTGAAGGTCAGATTGTGTAGCAATCATTTGTTTATGCCTTTTAATATCCCTGTATACAGTTTACAAAAATAAATGAAGTGGTCAAAATTTGGAAGAAAATAAATAACTATTGCCACAGACAAAAATGGGAAGTTATTGATTTTACATGCAACGAGGGATACCGCAATTAGAAATTCTGCAAATTTTTGAGTGCAAATCGAGCAAGAACCAGATTCTCCTACAGTGTCTGCAACCACCAGGTAAACGGAGTTGGCATTTGGCACCGTGCAAGAAAAGAATCTTCATATCATGACAGTTGGGATAAGTACAAGGGTTGTCTTTAGTTGCTCCACATTGATTTGCATGTTCTAGAACATTCAGCAACCACCTAATCTGCATAATATTTATTTTCTTTTAAATCATTTCCAAGCCAAAGTTTCACTATATATAGCATTTGGAAACTCCTATAAAAAATTTCGCAGAATACTTTTCGTCTGAAAATTTCAAAAATTCAATTAAACACATACCCTCAGAATCACGGATTCAATTATTATGTTTTAAATAATCTGAAGGGATCTGAAAGAGGTGGAAGATATCATCTACATACCTTCAATTGTCCTTGCTGTTGAATATGTTCAGTATTTGTTCTACAATCAGCTTTCCTTGATTGCTGAACTAACTTGTGAATGTGACATCTGTCCCCCTCCTTTTGATAACATGCATTGCAAGCATGAAACTCGGAGCATATCTCACAATGCCACCTCACCACCGGTTCATGGTGACAAATGCTGCAAATAGTTTGTGTAGTAAATGTACTCATTTTATGGAGATGGTGCAGGATCATCATAGATGAATACTTAGCACGACGAAGTGAGTCAAATTGGTAATTATTTTTCTGACAGAAGTCCAAGAAAGAGTGTCTGTTGTCAAGGAACTCATTATGCAAAATAACATCGTTGTCCTCAGTATCAGCAGCTACACCACTCACTGCAATCTGAATAGATCAAACAGAATTAAAAAAAAAAAATTAGGATCGTAGAGGGCTGGCCAAATCCAAGCAAAATAAATGCAAAAAAAGCTCTTCAAAAGTACCTGCCAGAGTTGGTGTTTTTTGCCACGACAAGTTTTGAGTGTTTCCAGTCCATCGGGAGTTTTCTTCAGTTCAAAGCATCTGGAATTCCGATGAGTTAGTAAAATACTATTGCAGACTCGGAAGAGCATACACTTAGAGCAATACAGATTTTCATTTTCGTTTCTTAAAAAAGAGATGCAATAAAAGAAGCTTCATTAAATTAGAGCAAGTTGACCCGAAGATTAAGTTCGTAAAAGATTGTAACAGTACTAGAAACCTAACAGTGCTCCTCAAATGATTATCATGTTCCTAATTTAAAAGAGAATAAAAGAAACGGCATTGGAAGGTAATAATCACCTGCTACATAGATGAAATTTGCTGCATTGGTTACAAGACCAACGACTTCCAGACAGAATTGCTTCATTGCAGTTTGTGCAAATGAACTGCAAGTGGACAACGAAGAAGTCATCCTTTTTGTGATGGATTTTAGCTCCGAGCTATACAAGGAGAAGCAAAAAAACCTGAAGTTAGTAAGGTAATACAATATGATAGAACTAATATAGATAGTGATTTTCAGAAACTGATAAAGAGTTAGAAATAGTAAGAAATAAATAGTACAAAACACATTTTGATTAGTTAAATTCTCAACTAATCAAGAGTTTAGTAACCGCATTCAAGAAAAATTGATAGATGTTGTATTAGGGCTATTCACATGCTCAACTCTTCCCCAGCTAATATGTATCAGAAAAGTCGTAGATTTAAAGGGAACCAGATGACACTGAAAATCTACTATACACATAAGAACATGTGAAAAGTTTTTCTTCAGAAACTTACTTCTTGCATAGCTCGAACATCTTCTGTCGTATCAGTATGTCCCATTGCTTTTAAAGTTCTTCTTGTCATTTGGGTTTTCAACTTTCTCTCAGAATCTCCTCCTTCGTTCTTTTCAGAGTTTCGTACATGATGCTCGATTTCACCAGACCAATAATCTCCATCAAAATAAGGTAACCGAGCTGCTGTTATCTTGCTGTTGCATTCTCCACTCGGAATAAAGAAGTGCTCGTAGAAATTAGTATATTCCACCACAACATTGTCTTGCTTAGCTTTTTTTAGCATCTTCTTGTACCTGTGCACATGCAGAGATTCTTAGGTTGACGGTGAATTAAACGATGCTTGGAAATATATAGACAATCAAACAATGTGTAACGTGTAATCACTGTTTTTGATCATTCAGGACAATATGGAATACTGCTGGTATGAGAATAGTTGAACAGACACCTAATCAGAAAATTTGAAATTAATATATTTCAATTACCATATGACAGAAATATATACTTATAATAAGCATCCTCCATACTATTATACCCACCTAAAAGAGATGAAGATTACATACTATATATTCATCCTTAGACTTAGAAAAGACCAAACATTAATAAGCCTTTTCAATTACCACTTGACGTAGAAATATACATATAACAAGCATCCACACTACTATCATAATGCATTATTCTAGAAAGATAGATCAGGAAAAGGGAGAAACAATAAGATACCATTGAGAAAGCCTATTGTCGTCTGGTCTTTTCTGAGTCTCAGGATGACAATATAGTATGTAATCTTCCCCTTTTCTAGGTGGGCAAGCCCATATGTAGCAAGTTTTGAAACCATATTGCTTGCAGTAATCAAGATATCCAATCTGCAATTGTGTAAACAAAAACAAAAAAAAAAAAGTTAACATCTCATATGTTTCACATAGTTCATCAGGAATTCCATTGTGATAAAAACGAGTGGAAGAAATAAGGTAGCTAGATACTGGCAGATTACCAGTATTTCGTGATATACAATGGTACGCAGAGCCACACCAGCAACGGTTTTTATTTCAGGAGTAAAATACTTCACTGAATCAAGATACGAAATATATATAGAACGCTTATTCGGGTTCCCGCAGTCTGATCCATATTCTTGGACATACATGGAAAAGAGACAGACATCAACACATTCAACCTTTTGAAACAACAAGATCACCTGCAATGAAACTACTGTCATTTTCTGAAAGGAAAAAAAAAACAGCTTTGTGACTGTGTTTGCATGCATATACATGTATGGACATCTACACACAATCACACACACCTAGAACAGAGATTGAAAAGAAACTGAACTTTTATTAACAAAGTACACATTTGCAAGCCTCCATTATACCTCAAGTATGCATGGATTACAAGTGAATAAACAAAAAACTTTAAGGAACTAATAATCTTATTGGAATGCTAATCCCATTAATAGAAAATATAATACTAAACAAATTCGTAAAAACTGCTAACTCGAACCTTAGATTTATATGAAAACTTGGTCGGATAACTTTCACCTGGGATAATATCTAAAAACTCCTGCTTCACTTCTAATTGTTTATTGACAGCCAAAACCACTCTAACTACGAGATCTGCTGCTCCAGGTACCTGTTAAAATGAAAATCATTTAATCCATTAAATGCTACATATTCAGTTCTGAGGACTGAACAATACAGTAAGAGATATGCAAATAAAAAATTCAAATAGAGTGCCTATCTGCAGGTTATTTATTCTATTCAAGGTTTGATTTGGTTGTGCTGATTATCAACATCTTATGTCCGTACTAAATCTTCAACATCGTATCTTGAACAAGTAGGAATAGTGGTTAGTTTTGCAAATTTATTTTTCATGACAGTCATCCACATTCAACAATAGAATGATTGCCCAACTTTTAGTTTTTTTTTCCTCTGGTGCAATAGGAACATTAAATCAAGAAATATTCTGGATCCAGTGATTTGGGTGCAAATTTAATCAATCAAAGCTATGCTTGTTGTGACTATTTGTATTTTTACTGTAATAGTTCAACTCCAGCAGTTAACAAGTTGAAGACCATGTTTCATGAAACCAAATATAAACATATTAAAAATTCTTGAAAATGCATAAGCCAAGTCCATTGCTTACCTCTTCTGGGGACTTCCCTATTAACTCTGCCCTTTGTTTTCTCTCATGCTCGAGGCTCCTGAGAAGTCTTTGCTCTATGTGATCACTAAGCTTGGTTCTAGGGAGATCTCGTGCCCCAGTTGCTGGAGGTATGGGAACATGCTTTTTTGCTTCTATCTCGGCTAAACGACACTTTGGACAAATGTAGTCCACTTTCCCTTCCAAATCTCGTTTTGAATTATAAAGAGCACAAACCTGATGTTGCCATCTTTCACATTTGTCACACTGTACCCACTGCAAACAAAAATCAGTAAATACTAAATAGAAAGAATAAAGATAACAATGGATTCAGCAGAAAAATGGCAGATAAGAGATTAATCTCACCGGTTCGTCAAGTTCGGTGGTATTTTTGGCCTTCTGAAGTTTTGCTTTGGAAAATGTGAGCCCACCCGTACTTGAGATTCTACCACCACGAGAATGGCTGAAGCATGAGTTACAAAAGCAGTATTGCGTACCCGATTCATCTGTCGCCCAATAATAATTTAACTTGTGCTTGATTAGAAGTTGGCACCATGAACAATACATAGGCGGACCAGCAAAAGCGAGCACATCCACAAGACATAATTGACAGGAATTTGCCCCAGCGGTTTGCGCAGTTTTGTCCCCAGATAATTCCTTCTCGGCATTCTGTTTAAGAAAGAATAGTGTAAAAAGGTCAAAACTACCATACATCTAGCTATCATCATGACTAAGAAATTTTGCAATAAAAAAAGCATGCACGTACCGGGATGGTACATTGACGGAGACTATCCAAATGCATTTTAATTTGCTCGGCTGTGAAGGCATCAGTTAACGAAACACCTGATCCTTTCAACTCTTCCAGCTTTGTGCCGTATTGATAATCAGAATTAGATGAATCACAGTTTGTATCTATTCTATCATGCTCAGCCACAGAAATTATTTTGGTTTTCTCTCCTGGATCAGTCGCTGGTTCTTCAGGAAGAATAGAAACGCCATCGGGATCCAAACTTTGACAACTAAAAGTTACATCACATTTGATATTGCTAGTATTGTCACAGTCCATCTCCTGGTGTTTATCCACCAAATTGAACCCTTCAGAATGAGACAAGGTAACATTTTTCAGTGCGGCTGAGTTTCTAGGGTCTTCAGATGACTGCCCCAGGCCTAAGAGTCCATCAGTTTTACTGAAGCACACATTTTCAGTCACAGACATTAGTGTGGTTTCCTCTCCTGGATCAATTGCTGGTTCTTCAGGAAGAATAGAAATGCCATCGGAATTCAAACTTTGACAACTAGAAGTTACATCACATTTGATGTTGCCAGTATTGTCACAGTCCAACTCCTGATGTTTGTCCACAAAATTGAACTCTTCAGAATGAGACAAGGCAACATTATTCAATGCGGCTGAGTTTCTAGGGTCTTCAGATGACTGCCCCAGGCCTAAGAGTCCATCAGTCATACTGAAGCAGATAGTTTCAGTCTCCGGTCCACCATTATCTGCATCACCATTCCATATTACACCTGGTGAGCCTTCATTAGAACTTAACAGCTCCTTGTTCATCTTCGCTGTATTTTCCTCATCATCCAATAGACACCCGGCTTGCAGCTCTGAGCACGAAAGCACAACTGAACTCAGAGACCAATCATCACGCGGAACAGCCTCTATCTTCAAACGTTTAGGATCAGGTTGAGTCTCCTGAAAAGTGAAATCTCTAGGATGGGGGTTTCCTATAACACATCCTCTTGGATTTTCAGATACCGTGGTCATTTTGTCAGTAGAGTACGGACTGGAAGCAGGCACTGACTTAATTTTCTTGTTATGGAAAATCTGATGAACTGGCCCACATATTTTACAGTCAGTGGTTTGACAATTATCAAAGTGGGATACCAGAGCACGGTACTTGTTACATTTACAATCTAAGCCCCTACACACTACCAAATGTAGATAATCCACATATTCCTGTTGGCTTCTGATGACATCTAGTTGCTTGCTTCTGAAGATGAGATACAAAACTAGGAGTCTGTGCACAGACCCTCTTGAACTTGTGGTTTTCGAAGCTTGAACATTAGAAAATCCGTGTTGCTGAGATCTGTGATTTGGTGCCAAGGGTGGCCGGGACAGAACCAATGAACTCTCTCCTGATACTTCATTCTGAAACTTTTGATTCACCACACTGCACCCATACATCTGGCGCTCCAAAGAGCCATCAAAGTGTGCAGGAGGTGGACAAGACTGCAGATGACATGGGTTTGATTGATGTGCCTGAGGCTCAAAGTTGGATGACCATTCATGGCTTAATTTGGGCTGATTGAAAACCGTGCCAGATAGAGCATTAGTATCTTCTGGAATAAACATAGAGTTGTGTCCAGACAACCAAGCCTTATATTCATGTAGCTCCAGATTATCCCCCAACAGAGATTGAGGACCAACATGATTAATCTTGTGATTGTTCTCTACAAATTCGTTGGGTTTAATCCAATCTGAACTACCTGTTCAAAGAAATTGTTAGAGAGAGAGAGAGATAAAGAACAGCAAACGCTAAGGCTCTCTCAAAGAAGTATCTAAACATTTTTGTTCGGGAAGAGAACTAGCTAGACAATTAGGTCAAACAAAGAATAACTATAAGATGACAGTACAAGATAAAAAGGGTCTGAAGTTTCTTAGTTCCTGATAGCACTAGATTTTAGTTATCAAGTCATTTTCCACAAATTTCAAAATAACATTATTATTTTCTAATCTCTTTTGGTAATAGATTATTCAGATACGAATACATATAATCCAGATAAAGAGAAGCCAATACCAACTGGTTAGTTGGTACTTAAGCTGTACGTATGACATTAATGTATCAGTCAGTTAACTGATGCGATAAATATCACGAACTTCGGAAAAGTGAAGAGAATAAATACATTAGTGTAAAAGATTGAGTTTTATCAGTGATATTACAATCAACAAGTTAAGGAAACATCCAAGAAGTTAACATGAATAGGTTGGTGTCAGTTTTAGGCGCTATATGACATGTGACGGTGTATAATTACCTGGTATTGGCTCAGAGAAAGACCTGACAGCAAAAGTCGCTCCAAGTTCAAGGGGTTCATTATCAGGAGAACACCCTGAATCAGAATTCATTGTGACAGATGATTTATGCTCGGGAGAAAAAACCTTTTCAGGAAATCGTTTTCGATATACCAGTGGAGGACTGTTATTGCCATTGGGAGGAACCAACAAGGGAGAACCTCCTATCGGATAACAGTTTGAAAATTCTGCATTTGGAAAAAACGGTTTATAAATTTAGGTTTGCGTTTGAAAGCTTGGCGAACATAATTTAGAAAACTCAACAAGTTAGACAAAATCGACTTATGCTGAGAGTAGCATATATTATATTTATCATTGTGTCTGAACATACTATAGCCCGTAGTGGATGCGGTTGGATTGTTGAATCCAGGGTATGATACATTTGGATTGTAATAACGAGGTGGAAAAGCGACTCCAACTCCATTCCAGTGAATAGGTGAAAAGGGGGATTCATGAGGGGCAGATGCTTGATAAAACGCATGGCCTTCATTACTTTCATTGTTCACTGAGTTTTGAAATGGAAAAGACAACTCCTGTTTCACGCCCTCCTAAAGAAATTGAAATAGTATGAGCTCAAGTATATATGTAATATCAAAGTCCAAAACTTGCAGAAAGCTAACTATTTTCCAGAACCAAATTATCCAGCTCGGCAGGAGGTAATGCAGCATACATACTACATACAGATGAAAGAAGTTTGAACAATAGCCAGGGTTCATTACACGAATACGTACCTTCATAGCATATCCTTCAAACAGTCAGCTTTTCATCACAATAACATACTCTGACCTCTGCTTTCTCCGATCCAAACTAGTATTTTCTCGCTGCACATTCCAGAAGTATGTGAGACTTGAAAGTGTTAATAAATGATAAAATTCAAAACACATCAGTTTTTGCCAGAGGCTCTCTTAACACACCAAGCTACTACATCAACAATAACCCTGCCTTTCTTCTTTTCATTCATTTGCATGAGTAAAACTACATTTATATTGTTTGAACAAATTCTGCACTGATGGTAGCAAGTAAAATCTGGAAACGACCGCTCTTTGTTCGACAATTAAATTCAGTATTTAGAGTTCAGATTTCATAACCATATTAAAGCTGCATATTCATCCTAAGAAGACTGTAAAATCAAATTGAATAGAAATATCTAGAACATAAATCTCGTTACTGAATCTCGTCATGTTATTGTAATTACCCCAGCCTCGGAAACTTAAACCGTAACATGAAATAAATTGCAGTTTATCGCTTCAATTTTCAGTACTAAACATCAGAATTTGATCAAGTCAAATAAACAACACATAGCTCTTCAAGCTTATATAAATTTAATATTAGGGTTTCGAAAAAACCAAAAAGGTCAAATTCCAATCCAGAAAATAATCCAATCCAAAACCATAATTCAGTACAATCGATCGCTATTAAGACCTATCCCTTCGATCATCAAAAACCAAAACAAAATTCAAAATTATTAATCAATTCGTTCAATTCATTTCAATTAAAACAGAAAAGGCGTTTCTTCCCCAAGATAAACAGTCCAATTCAACAAGTCCACATATAAAACAAAATTTAGGGTTTCAACAATGGGCGATCAACAGTCAACGTTGCCTGGATAAAAATCAATATCGCACGCACTCAAAACACACACAGAAACAAACGCATACATATATAAAAATATATATATATATACATATGTGTCAGCATCAAGGGTTCCATTATTGAACGCCGCAATTATTAAAAAAGAAGAAAGAGAAAGGGGGAAAAAGGATGTAGGGCATACCTGAAATCAGGGTTTTAAAATATTAATTGTTTTGGAGACAGAAATCGAGAAAGTAGTCAAACAAAAGAAGATGCAAAGTCCACCACATATAATCTATATATATATAAAAAGAGAATCTCTTCTCTCCTATGTTGACACGTGTAATTTTAGGTTTCCCAACCCTAAGGGGCAAATTGTGTATTTGTATAATTTTTGTGTACCAAATATCATAAAACTGCTGAAAATAAAAGACACCGTTCCATAAAAAAACCCCTTTTCATCTTCCTTCAATTATCTGCACAGTACAGTCCCCTCAACTGCATACACAAACAATCGAACAGTTTTTATACAGCAGTTTTATAACTTCTCATCCCCAAATTCATGTCTTATTATATGTACATCAACTCGAATCCTTCAATCCTTCACAGAAATCCCTCTATCCTTCACAGAAATCGTTCACATCTATCATTCCAAGAAATTGAAGATATCAACATTCCGCCAGTAGATAAATCAACAACATTTCCGGCAAAAGATAAATCAACCGAATCGTTTGCCATCGGAAACCCTGCAAACGGTGCTCGCAATATCAAGTAAGATTTTAAATTTCGACTAAATCAAAGGAAATAAAAATTTTGTGAAAAAAATATTATGTGATTTCCATCCAAAAGGTTTTTTGTTTACACTGGAAAAGGTTGTTCGATTGCAAAATATGGGTATTTTTTACAAAATATGGGTTTTTTTTTTTAATATCTTTCCTCTGGCAATTTATGGCAATTTTGTAATCCAGACTACACGGTGAAAAAAACAAATGATACCAACAGAAAATTGTTTCTGTAGTCAATTACATGTCTTACTTTAATATATATATATATATATATATATATATATATATATATATATAACGAAAATTGTTTCAGATATACATCACTTTGCATGCCTTATTTTTTGACTATATATACACATATATATATATTTCTTAAGTACTAATTTTTGTTTTTGATATATCATGCAGATATGGCGCCGGCGCCACCACAGTTTACATGTTTCAATGATATTACACCCGAACGATATAATTGGAAAGTGATGGCGCGGGTGATTCGGCTGTGGAAAGTTCCTAGCAAAGCCGATCAAACTATTATTAATAGCCTCGATATGATCTTGATCGACGAGCAGGTCATTATTCATTTACAAATTAATTTGTGGCTATTCAAATTTAATTATTGGCTTAGTAATATTGTAGCATATGGTTTTCCAGGGAGGAAAAATTCACGCGTCTATAAAAAGGACTCAAGTCAACAAATTTTACAGTATTCTGAAAGAAGGTAGTACTTACATCTTCCAGAATATAATGGTAGTTCCAAATGATCCGAAATTTAGAGCAACTCGCCATCCCCACAAGATCATATTTATCAACAACACTCGGGTAACCAATTGCAACGCTCAAAATATTCCAACAATTACTTATGACTTCACAAATTTTGTTGACATCATAAATGACGGGGATGACACGTGGCTTATAGGTAAAATGTTTTAAAGTATTAAGTTTCTTAATTCCCTTAATTTATTATACAGATATTACAATAGTTTTTAAAACATATGCTTTGTTTACTTTTAGATATTATTGGACATGTTATTGAAAGAGATGAAGTGAAAGATGTTGACATAAGTGGACGCAACCACAAGCTTCTGGAAATCACTCTTCAAGACTTATTGTATGTATTTTTAGATTATGTACAATAATTTTAAATTTAATGATGAATAATTTCATAATTTTTATTAACCAAATTATTACGTACCTTTTTCAGGGGGAACTGAATAAAATGCACTCTATGGGATCAATATGTCGATCAAATGTCTCAGCATTTGAGTGATCCGAACTCAGCTGGCCCGGTCATCATTATACTGGAGTTGTGCATGGTCAAAAATTTTAATGGTCAGCACCTATCTTTACTTTCATGCAAATACGGCATAAAAATATGCCTCATTTTTATTAATTAAGGTATTTTTTCATTGTAGGCCAGAATAGTATTTCTAATGCTTTCCACAGCTCAAGATTGTTAATAAATGAAAACTCCGAACCACATAGAGAGTATAGAGAAAAGTGAGTATGTTTAAAATATTTCATTCAATTATCCAATTATCTGTTCTACAAATCTTATACATTTAGTCTTACACTCCTCTAATTATGAATTTGTGATGCACTATTTGTACACATATACAGACTCTTAATGCAAGACGCCGCGTTGACACAATCAATCAGCGTGATATCAAACCAGAGGTCGACAGGGATTGCAGATGATTTGTTGCAGACAGAGCAAATGACAATAATTGATTTGAAGAATTGTACTATTGTAAGTAATTAATTCTTCTTTCGTTAATTTTTAAATTTTTAGAAAACTAATTTCAAATTATCTTTTAGGAACGCAATGTTGTTGTACTTGCCAAGGTTATTGATATCGATCCTGATACCAAATGGTGGTATACTGCATGTTCTAAATGTTACAAAAAGGTAGAGCATACAAGTGCAAAATTCTATTGTCCAAGATGTGTAAAGGATGCTGATCCAATTCCAAGGTAATTTGTTTGTTCTATAATGCTCGACATATAGTTATAAGATATATAAATGGTTTTTCACATATTAATGCATACAGGTATAGGATTCAAGTATTGGTATTTGACACTACTGGATCCACTAAGTTGGTCATGTTTGATAAAGTCGTCAACAAAATTGTGGGCAAGCCAGCAAAAGAACTTATTGGTGATGTAGATAAAGTAATATAATTTTTATATTCATACAAAATGCTGAACAACTTCTACATATTTTTATTTTTCATACAATGATTTCTCATCGTTTTTTTAGGGTGATTTGAGTGATACAATTCCTAAAGAATTTGATGCCATCATCAACAAGGAATTTCTGTTCATGATAGATATTAGTGCGATGAACATATCAAAAAACTGGTCAGTTTATACTATAAAATCAATGTCAGCTGATCAAGAAGTTATACGGCAGTTTCGTGCTATGCATTCTATTGAGGTATTAGTCCCCAAATATATATTAGATACTGCATCATAAAGTATATTAATGTTTTATTAAATTATAGGTATTTGTTGATGACGATGATTACTCAAATGGCGACAATACTAACCAAATGTTTTACTCAAATGTTTTATTATGACTTAGAATCTTGATAAACTTAAAAAGCCTAACTCACCCGTGCAACACTTTGCCAGGGCTTCCCTAGATGTCAGTATTGATTTTGTTGTGGATGCATTGCCAAGGGAAAATGAGTAAGAGGCAGGAAGTGTCCAAATTTTGACTTCGACAAGCGACTCGAGAGGCGAAGCATCAATGCTAGAATTTGTAAACTCTTACAAATGGAAGGACATGATAATATAAATTTCCTTACGATTACTGAAATCTTTTTACTACAATCACGACAGTGGTAGCTTATAATTGTTGTATGATTACAACTACGGGTATACAACTATAAGCATTGATTTATAGATGTTCGTATGTAGGTAATTTTATGTTACTACAAAATGTATTCAAATGAAATGTATTTTTCAGTATTTATATTTTATATACGTATATAACAGTCTAACAAAGAACGAAATACTGATGTCGTCAATTGCTGGAGTTGTAGAATACATGTATGGCGAGTTAATTAATTTTTACTTTATTCAATATACTTCATTTCTTTAACGATGAATTCATATTATGACGATTTAATTCATTTAACCCTTTGTCAATTTAATTTTTCTAATAATTTTATTTTATATTTTTTATTACTACTTTTATTGATACCATATTTAAATATTTTATTAATTACCTTTGGAAATGCTACCCCGTGCATCGCACGGGTGTAGTACTAGTTAGGTATGTATTAGGGTATTTATAATGGTAGGTTAATCCTTAAACGAGCCAGATTATAACATCTACGGTCTGGATCAAGCGGTATGGGGCTCTTCATAATTATAGCCTGATCCGGATTACTTTTGGCGGGAAATAGTTTTATATTTGCAATCTTTACTAAATAAATAATAAATATTGGTTGGGTAATTGTTTTAGAACATACTTTTATTTATAAATAATAGTTAGTATAAAAAGAATTGTTTTATGCATGATACATGCTAATTTAGTGAAATATATTGGTGATGATGTTAAAAATAAATCACCTGGCGTATTAAAGCCAAGTTGATCCGGCGGAAACCCCTCCAGATATCCTGTCATCTGGGCGAATAATCAATAATAGCCAAAAGAATTTGAGTAGAAGAAGTGATTGAATAATAAAAGCGTACCTTTAATAAATGAATTATGTCGTTATTTATACCTTGTCGATTGGGTTGCGGTTAATATATTGGGCCCAAGCTTAATTTGAATGTTATTGGGCCTACGTAGAAATAGCTATTAAACTGGGCATGTGGCCCAGTAAATATGGGTGTATTGGACTGCGCATATCAATTGGGTTGATTTTTACAATTTATTCGCCACATATTAGTGTGAGTGGCTGTCTATTAACAGTAAAAATCTACTTGTTGTAAACTTAATCGAGTGTAGCATAGAATTGATCAATAGGGACAACCTCATTCAATGGACAATTTTTTATTCCATTTGATTAAACCTCTTTAGTGTTTATAATGCCCAAAATACAGTATATCTAGGGGTGCAAGTTGGAACGAAAATTCTAATTTTGATCGGTTTCGATTCGAAAAGTTCCTATTTTAGAACAACTTTTCAATCCGATTTCCGATTTTGGAATTATATTTTTAAAAATTGGAATTTCCAAATTCTGATCAGATTTAATTTCGAAAAATTCCGATTGTTTTCTAAAAAATACACATATAAATATTATATATTATTACGTATTTTACATTATTAAAATAAACTAAGGATTTAATTATATTTATACATTATGGGCCATGTCAAAGATTTTCCTATGTTTTCTATCACCTAAAAAAATCCTAATTTCTTTTACGTTTGTTATTTATTGTGCAAAGAGTAATAGTTTCAGCCCCAGGCCCCCAAGTCAAAAAAAAATCTCTCCGTTTTTTTTCTAAATTCCAAAATTTCCAGGCATTTTAGAATCGGCATGAATTTTTAGATTCTAAAAATTGAAAATTGGAATCAATTTTATACCTTCAATTTTTTTTGTTTTTTTTCAAAAATGCTAAGTTTGATCCGTTTCAACCGACTTTAACCCCCAAGTATTTGAATTAAAACTCCATATATACTAGATATCCATGGATGAAATGGTCAACTAAGTCAACTACTGGACAATTGCAAAAAAATGTTCACTGTCTCTTACGTCATTAAAAAAATAATAATAATAAAGAAAATAATATTAATTTTCTAAAGAAGTAATTATGATTTATGAACAATCAAATTCAGACATCCTCTGCATAAACATCACTCATTTCAAATTAACAAAGCCAAGGCCCAATAATTGCAGGAATAGCTTTTAAGCAAATAACCTGTCTAAAATCCTGGTGCTACAAAGTCATCAACAAAAACAAAAATCTGATATTTTATCTCACCAGATGCTAATATTATTCTTTACCTATTCTACCTGGGAGACGAATACGGCAAATTACCATACTGACCATATCTAGACGGGCTTCTTCTACTTCTGTCCGATAACGATCTTGCATATGTGGGGCTCCACGGTATTGACGGGTCAACCCGCGGGCTGCGCGAATAGTAACTAGAATCATGTTCACCATATCTACGGATATGGTTCGAAAGAGAAGGGCTAGTTCCAGGTTCACACCCAGGCGGCCCTTCATCTTCCAATGAATTACTGTATTGCCATCTGCTGATAGGAGGAGGTGGCGGCGCTTCTTCTTCCAAGTCCCTAGACCACCTTTGCTCGGTGTTATTACTATAACGCCCTCGGCCAAGATTTTCAGATGATTGGTGGTTATATCTGCTTTGTGACGAACGATATCTAGACGAGTTTGCACTTGATGGTGCTGCCCAAAGCCATTTGTCTGCGTTTTCTGGAATCGGTGCATTTATACCTGGAAATTCGACAGTCATTTTCCTAGTTGGCTCGGTGAAGCTACCATCAAGAATTTCCCCTTCTTCGTTTTCCGCCTTGACCGTTGACTCATCGTCGCCAAATATTGTAATACCCGAAGGCTGATCCTCCAGGTCTGGATCTAAAGAAGTTATAAGGAAAACCTCGTTAGAACAAAAATATATAGTAAAGTAAAACACCAGGGCAAGTATCCAGATTTCAATTATTCCCCGTTTGTGGCAACGCGTACAAATATACTTGTCATAAAAGTGGAGTCCGAAAAAAAACTATATACCTAAATAACCAGGAGGATATCCTATTTCTCGCATTCTGTTAAGCCATGGAGGTGGGTCAAGCTCCTAAAAACAAAACTCAAAATGATTAAATGCAGAAGATACTCGGCAGATTCTATAACCTGATGTTAAATTAAAAACCTATCTAGTGAAGGCTCTAGCTCCCATATAAGATTTTAATGTAATAATAAATAACAGCACATGTTCATCGTCTCACCCCAAGTCCTAAAAGTTGTCGTGTTTCAGCATCAAGAACACCTGGTTTTAAGCCATCATATTTTCCACCCCGGGAACTCTGATAGTATCGAGTTGAGTTACGAGAATTTGGATGTTTGGATCGGTTGGAATTGTGCTCCTTCCGAGCATTATTAACAGCAATATTGTTACGTGGTTTGGGGCAGTCTTTCATTGCATGGCTGTACGAACTACAGTTGAAACAACGGGACGTATCCAACTTTTCCACTCCTCTGCAACAACATGAATGATATATCAAACTCTATCAAATGAGGATTATATAGAAGAAAACAACAGGTTTGCATGTTAAGATTGACGATTCTACGGTGTTGTTTATTTTTCTTCATATAATTCAGAAATCTAAAATGACTGGTTAAGGGGTAAAATAAGTTCTGGGTTATGATCTACAAATCTTTAACATGAAAACAATTTTGCAGACAACTTTATTTGATAAATAAAAACCAACTAACAACGAAATTAAAATAAACATACCCATCCAAAGTTGCAGTAGCTGAAGTCAAAGCTAAAGAATATCCACGATCATACAGAGGAACGGAAGTGCCATCCAATGGTATAAACTCCTTAGTTGACTGTATCTTTGCTTGGTCATCCACCCAAAAGGTCTACATACCAATCATCAATTACAACAAATGTAGGTTGAAATAAACAATTTATTGTAATCAATGTAGAATGCAAAGGTTTTCATGGATACTCCATTTATTAAAAGAAATGTAGAGTGATGTAAAAATATAACAGGAGTTCTCTTTGTTCAAGTATTTCGTTAGCCAAAGGAGATATAAAGCAATACGGACTCAGATCAAAGGAAACAAAAAGAATCAGAAAGTAGAAGTTATAGGACTGGCCCATGTCACAACATTAATGCTAGAACGCGCTTGTGTCCATTTGGTTCACTGACATAAGAAATCTACCAAATAAGCAAATAATGATATTCACACCACTAACTACAAAAGTGCAAAAATAGGAGAATCATACAACTTCAGAAGAATTATCCAAGCCAACACGAAGAGCTGGGAAATAGGTCTTCTCTCCAGATTCCAGCACTACATTTGAATCCTGAGAGGGATAAGAGAAGACACCAGCTATATCATTGAAGGTGATTACAAACATACAGTCCGGATGTGGAAAATTTTTGTTAAACAATATTTATATATAAAAAAAAAGAAGCGGGCTTACGTCAGATGATGAGCACCTCTGTGAATGCCATCGAGACCACTGCTGTAATAGCCCTTCCAGCTTTTGCTTACTTTCTCTGAGAATGACATGGAATATTATACGTATTAGTAACTATTCAAACCAAAAATGTGTAGATAAAAGTACCATACCTCGGCAAAGAGCTATAGATTACATGCACTGAAGGTTGTTGTTCATCAAGAGTTAATCGTTGTCTCTTAGCACCAGGTAAAGCTAGAAGATCAAGTTAGGGAAAGTATAAAACCAGTAAAGTGGTAATTAGATGAATGGGGGAAATCGGAGTTAAGAGTTTAAGACAACTATCATGACAAGAATTTTCGAAATCTAGTTGTACCTAGACTGAACTCTAATTATTAATACATAAAGCTTCAAAAGAGGATACAACTAGAGTCGTCCATCGCCCTTTTACTTAAAATTGATTCTTCTTTCTTAAGACAGCTGATACTGGTTTCATTTTGAATAGATAGAGTGCCATTTTCAGCATGTATAGAGCTGAGAGGTGTCATTTTTTCCTCTACCAAAACTGAATCTGTCATTTCTGAACCATCGAATTCGTCCACCACCTTAGAGTTTACAGGTAGAGAACCCGATTTAATGGCTTCAGAACCGGATTCACGTGGATCATCAGCCTCACTTCCATGTTCAGAATTACTAGAAGCAGGGAGTTTGATCAAATCATCTGTCTCCATTGCACGGAGTCTGTTCCGAGTAAGAGTGAAGTTACACTGCATGGAATGTGTTTAACAGGTGAGTCAAATAAATCTATTCCACAATGCAACTTGGAAATGAACAACAAACTTTTATACATAGATCTCCAGAACCAGACAATCGAACAATATTGTAGGAATGTAAAATATGTCAGATATTTAATCCAGCACATAAATTATTTGAAAAATATCTTAATGAGCAGGAGTTGAACTAGATAAGCTAAAACAACGAGTTCGTCCAATTCCATGCTGCGCCAATTTGTAATACTTCTTTCCACTTAGCAGATTAAATTTTAAAAGGGGAAATAAGTCAGATGTAAAATGCCACACTTCCTTCCAGAAACGGTAGAAAAACCAGAACATTAAAGAATACGAACGCTAAAACAATGACCTACACTCATCAGATGACACCTATAAACGCTAAATTAGAATAAGTTCTCATATCCAACACAGGGTTTTTATTTCCCCAACTAAAATGCACATTGAATGTCAATAACAGAATATCAATTCACTTATGAAAAAAATATACTCGATATCTTCAATAAAATTGTCTGTAGCCGTCAAAGATGACATCGAAGAAACAGCTAAATGACCCACCCAATACTATAAAATCTCCAGCCCTAAGGTCCCAAATTCAAAGTTCTGGTATCCAATTTAGTACAGAAAAATTCAGAAACAGATCGAATTCAGGATTCCAACAAAACACCACATGCATCTCGGAAACATAAAAACTTCAAAGAAATTAAAGTCAAATCAAAATCAGGGTTTCAATCAGCTCGAACTTTTGAATTTGAAGTACACAGACTTAGGGTCAACACAGAATTAGGGTTTTCAATTTACCTAAAATCCAGGAACGACTAGAATCAGCTAGAGAACTGAGAATCGGATAGACTTGAGCAGCCAAAAAAAATTCGAAAAGCAACCGGGCTCAGCCGACGCGCCAAGATTTGGAAATTTAAGGCGATAAATCAGTGAAGCTGTGTATAATGCGTGCGCGCGTGCGAGCGACAGAGAGAGAGAGATGGAGAGATGGCGGAGATATTTTTGAGATTCAAAACGTCACAGCTGCCTTTCTCTATTTATGTAATTCTTTAATTTCAGTTTGGGGCATTGGATTAAGACAAGCAATATATATGGTAGTTGAATTTGTGATTACAACAAAGAAATTTTAATATTTGGTTAAATTAATAGAATTTTGCTAGTCCCGACTGTATTAATTTAAGATTTAACTGTATTCTCATTTGCTCCTTTTTTTTTCCAAACATTTCACAATTAAGGGAAAGATTCTAAACTCCGTCAATCCGATTTCAATTTTCATTCAGAGTTTCAAATTTAGAGTCCCAATCTTTCTAAATCGCTCGATAATGTATCGGGCAACTGCAGAAGTCTTATTCTGCAACGATCCACCTGAAGCAATATCAACTAATGATCGAGCGAGTTAGTCTAGTCCATTGTAGAACAACTTCATCTGATTTCACAGGTTGAATCTTTGTTGTGGGAATTATCGTAGCAAGTCTTTAAACCTTTCACAGGCCTCGTGCAACGATTCTTTGTTCATTTGTCTGAAGTTGCCGACATCCCTTCGTAATTGCATTGTCTTTGGTGATAAGGGATAATTCTTCGCATCAAGCAAGTCATTGATGATTGAGAGTCAAAAGCCAGCTCTTCACTTTGTCTCTAACAGAAAAATGGGAATAACTTGAATCGAATGGCATTATCGGAAACACCGTACACTTTAATCGTGTCACGAATCTCCAAAAAATTAGTATGAGGGGAATTTGGATCGACAATAGCTGCTCCGAAAAATTGATTCGCCATAACCATAACAATTAAGGTAAACACATATGCCATATTGTAGCAACACCAAATTGCAATAGAACCCTAATTGCCATACTATAAACTAAAGAGAGAAAGAGTACTACATTTTATCATATGTTCATATATAAACTCCATAGATTTAAATTAAAACCCTCTTACAATTGACAAAATAGGTTTAGAAAACCTTGAAAATATACACTAATTAAATTATTACAGCCAAAACCAAAATTAATTGTCCTAATTAATTTGTAAAAGAAACAGTTCTTCTCCTTAAACTCCTACTCCCACTCTCTCTAATCCCGTCTTCATCATCACTACTATTTTCAACATGAGCTTTTCCCTTTGACTTTTCACCATCAGATTCTTCTTCATATTCATCATCTTCAGAAGCACTACTAGTATTCGAAGAACTGTCGCTCACCGTGTGAAATACCGTAACGCTCTCGTTTTTCGAGCCCTTAATCGAGTAGCTTCTCGTCTTTTCGTCGTACAAAGGAAGGGCGGATTTGGAACTACGCGCCTTTTCGCCGTAGTCGTCCCTTCCCAAGCTATAACTAGTTGAGAGCTTTCGTTTGATGTCTTCTCGTTCCTTAACCAAATCACTTAGTCTTTCCAATACTTCGTTTGCCACCGCTTCGTCTGAAGCCGCCTTTTCTTCTATCTCGTAAATCATTCTGTCGTAGGCTTTCTTCTGTGATCGCAAAGATCTCTGCAAGAAATTAAACACGAAGAAAATAAAAACATTATATGGAATTGGTCAAATTATGATGCATTAATTGTCATTTTCTTGATTTTGCTTCATCACTCGTAATTAGTTGAGAGAGAATCAATGGAAATTAACGAGAAGGGTATTTTGGTCACATTATATATTCGTTCCTAAAATCCATGTAAATCCGAAACTGACACTTATTTTTTGTAAAAGGGATTTTATGCTTACTCTTTTTTCTAGAAACTTCCCGAGGTTCTGAGATTGAAGCTTCTTCTTCTTCCAGAAGACGCAGCAACGTTGTACTAGTGCTGCTACGAGCACAAGAATTACCGATTCGATTAAGAGAAACAATACTATTGTCCTCTCATTACCTGCACGAAAGACGGAAAAAAAAAAATTCAAAAAAAATCAAACTTTATTTTGTTTAATATGATATGAACAAATACAAGAAATTAGTACAATTTTTTTTTTTTAATTTACCTGAGTAGATACTTAGGGTCTTGGGGTTGACTTGTGAGCAGCTAGATGCAAGCTTTTGACCTGTAATAAACACTGTGTTGTAATAAGGTGTACTTATACATATATAATTAATTCTGATCATGTATTATATGTTAGAAGAGTATGTTTACGTGTGCTGCGACAAGGTAACGGGCTCCGTTTTCCTGCACGGTGGATGAAATTATATTCAATTAGTACCATTTAGTTACATTGTCGATTAGTGCCATTTTATTTGTTAGAACAACTTACTTGAAACGGCGAAAAATGCCAGTAGAGTTCTTTCATCTATCACAAAATGTTGCAGATCACTCTGTGACAGCTTGTACAAGATTTTACCTGCTTTTTTTGTTTTTTTAATCGTTAGAGAGAGAGAGAGAGAGAGAGAGAGAGAGAGAGAGAGAGAGAGCGAGAGAGAGCATTACCCGGATCACTCTCAGACAAGTAGATTGAACCAGAAGATGGAACAAGCAATGTGAAGGCAACACTTTTTGGTTTCAGTGCCGATACACGGACATACTCTGCAGCTGTCTGAAAAGCTTTTCCTTCCATTTCTGTCTGAGAAATATAAACTCCATAACCGGAGCAATCAAGCCACAGGACTAACTTGGATTACAGAATTCAAGCTAGCCGATCTGGGGAATCTCTTAAGATCCCCCGTGGGCGAAAACGAATAAAAAGATCCGTCCAACGAGCCAAACGATATCCATCCTGCAACCAGCCACAGTATAAAATAGGGCTCTTTTTATTACACTATTCAAAGTAAATTTAAAAAAAATAATAAAAAAAATAAAAAAGAGAAAGAGATTTGATCTTCTTCTTACCATTTGAATCAACAACCGGCTCGTAATCTGCAGAACTCAACGGCCCAACATCTCCTCGCCACAAAATATTTCCCGTCGAAACATCCAATGCAAGGACGACACCTGTCCCAGGTACAGTCACGTAGAGACGGCCATTGTTTCCAGGTGTAACTATAAATTTATTCCCAAACGAACTCAAATCTTGAATCCACTTAAAATAAGGACCGCGTACCGATAACGAATACAGTTCCCCTACCGTATTACACATCTGCAAGAAATAAAAATAAAATAAAATTGTAAAGCACACTTGAAAAACATAATCAAAGGACACGGAAAGATGCTTACGAATATACTAGCTTCACAATGATCGATCACCGGCGAAGAAGTAAAATAGCACTCCGTGATATTTTTCCTACACCCTTGGCGAAATCCGTGTTGATAGAGCACTGGACCAGCGCTCCAAAGAAGCTGACCGTGTAATCTATACGCAAATAGCCCACGGTTTTTAACGTTGATCAGCACACATGAACTGGATATGCTTGCAGAGATTCCGATAATATCCTCTGGTTTTTCCGTAAATTGCGTTGGGCCGAAGAATAATTCGACAGCAGCTTCGGAAGTTCCGATTCTCAGAGGGTAAATTTTTAGTACCCTGTTTTCCGCGACCAAATATATCTGCCCGAATAGTTGGTCTTTCAAAAATTAAATACCCTTTCAAAATAAAAAAATTACGCTCTACGAAATCGAACTAGGTTTAGGCTTGCCTTTTTTGATCCTCCGTTAATTGGAGCTATATTTGAATTGCATGTGTAATTCAAATGTACTGTCCATGCAATAGAGCCGTTGCTTTCAAAGGAAAAGAAGTTTTTGCCGGAGCAAATGTAAATCCGACCGTCGTCTCCGATTAAGTTCTTGTAAAGTCTATAAGAGGTTCGCTTGGAGGCCACGTCAGCTGCAATAGAAAAAAAGATTTAATTTTTATTATTACAAACCCTAAAAATCTTTACTCTGTGTATTAATTCATTACAAGTTCCTAACAACACAAGTTGAGGCGAAGAGATGATAGATGGATGCAATTAATTT